TTCACTTTGTATTTTCATCATTGTTTTCTTTAGTACTATTAGTTTATTGGTGATATACGTCACCACATTTTTTCGTATGTACGAGGCTGAACTGTTACACAGTCCTTACAACGGGCTTGAATAACACCTTAAGTTTATAAAGTTTTACAAATGTGTAGATTTTCATTTTTTTTTTTCATTGAACACATTTTCTGTAATAAATATATTCAAAGCTAATACCATTTGATTTGAGGTATTTACATCCAAGACTTTTTATAAATAGTAACTACGTGCTTCGCAGTGTGTTTCTATGGCAACCATAACATTTCATGATATTTGGTATTCCATGTTTTAATGCTATCAGCAATAGGCACATCATACCTTACATATTTTGTACATTATTATATTATAACAATTCACATTAATTTTGGATATTATACCATATTCTTTGTAATTATTATTAGTTCGTACAAAATTATAATGTTTATTTGTCAATGTATCCATGGTGATCTACTATATCGTGTATGACATTATGAGGATGATACAATTGTGTAGGGAAGTTCAATTACATGGACATGACAACTCCTCACGTCCCATCAAACCATCCTTTAATTAGCAGAAAAAATGCTTATGAGTTAATACTTAATTATTTGTTTGCTAAAGTGGGACTGTATATCCACAATGTGAAACCCATGTTACTGGCTTTCAATGGTGTGATAATTCACAAAGTAAAAAACAATGGTCATCATCAGAAAATGAAGAACTTGAATATATTTTACCAATATATATTTCAATAGCTTTTTATGAAACCTGCAAAGTCCAAATTACTAAAAAACGTAGTGAACCACCTAGGTTAGATATCAGAGAACACAGGGGTACAAAAAACATGTATCAAAAGTGAATATTCATGTAATATCACATGACTGAAAAAGAAAACTTTCAAAAAAAGCTAGTCCTTCTTAAATATTTTAAGTAGTAGGTAAAATTGAATTATTGTCAAAACTGATCAAAGAGGGCACTTTTGCTTCACATCAATAGTGTATTTGTGATATGTAAATTTGTTGCTATATTACTTTGACAGTCATGATACAATCTGTATTGCTTTGCATCGTACCAGTAAACAAATGCTAAACAATGGTTTCCATGATCTCAGTGAGCGGTGTAATACTTTCAATCCATGTCATACAAAGATCATGTTAATACACATTGCTCTGACAAATAGATCTAACAGTGACATAGCAACATTGTCCACTAACACTGTCAGCTTTAATAAAAACCTGTTTATCCCAAAATGATGTCAATGACCCCTATGTGCGACATTTGTGTTGATTGATTTTCCCACAATGCAATGCACTCTTCTAATGGAAATGACAAGTATGAGGTTTGACCTGGGTGCGACATACACTAATTACCTCCGATACTTTTCAATCACCTTAAAAATACATAATTAAAGCTCAGTTTGTACTCGTTGATCTGCGCAACAGCCAGTCGCATCTTTGTTTATAAGAGACCCATATATCTCATGCATGCATGGTGCGATGACTACCGACCTTTAATTTATTCCAGAGCACCTCTACCACAAGTGCAATTTAAATCTGGATTTTTGAGATATTAGAAATTGGCTAATAATAATACAAAATGTAATAAATAAATAAATAAATAATCAATATGAATGTCTTCTACATTAAACTAATCATGTCTGTGGATTACCCAAGAACATCTATGAACCAAATTTCAATAAAGTGTGATGATTATGCACATTATGCAAATTAGGCAATTCAGTATGCTCAAATTTTTATCCAAAACCAATCAGGTCTTCAGCATTGTTCCCAGGCACTTCATATACAATTCAATTCTCATTGAAATGCAATAATTAGTTTTTGAGATATAGGTAAAAAATTGGGCAATTGTTATGCAAATTAACTAATCATTATGCATAGATTTAAACTCAAAACTAATTAGGTCTGTGACAGTGTATTGTTCTAGGGCACATGTGTATCAAGTTTCATTAATGTGATAATAAATTCTTAAAAATTATTATGCAAATCAGATAATTAATGTGCACAGATATTAATGTAAATTACTGTGGTCTGCCCAATGTCACAGACATTCCATGTACCATGAGTGTAAAAGCCAAAAATTGGCTAATTATTCAAATTATTCAGCCCAAACAGCCAAGTACAGTACTAAGTTTCAAAACAAGATGTCAGAAAATCAATATAAGCACTCCTATGAACTGGGTGCCAAACTTTGATCAAGATCTGAAGCTAATAGAAAATCTGTTTAATTCAAAGTTATCAAATCAAAAACAATACATAAAAAAATACATAAAAAGCAAAACATCCACATTTTGAAAAGAAAATTGTACACAAATATATGTATTCTGTATTTGACAAACAGTTCATCCTACAAATGAAACGTCACAGGAATATGTTTCAGCTATTAGAACAGAATGATAGAGTTTTTATAATACTAGTTTAAAAACGCACTTCAAAAACAAAGATTGCAGTGTTTGAAGATGTAGATTCTCAGGAAGCAACAGTACTGTTGACTTCTCTCTCCACTGGACACCAACTAACTATTTAAGTCGATTTGCATACAAAGCAGAGCTTGCAACATGATAGCTATTCATAGAGGGTGTTTTTTTACTTTTCATATAATACAGTAGTCATACAATGAGGCAGTTCATATTTGTCTCATTGAATCATTAATTTTTAACAGACACCTGTACAAAATACTTGGACAAAAGCCAGCTAAGATTTTCTGTTATCTTGCATGTTTTATGAATCTATTCACGTCTAAATGCAGCACTTTTTTTTGCGATGAGGAATTTGTTTTTATACTAAAATATTTGAATTACTTTGAATAAAGCTGGAAATTATGTCCCTTAAAATAATTAAACAAATAAGGCACCAATGTTTTTGTAAGATATTTACATCTTTTAAGGACATTCAGTTGACAGATTCCCCACTGTTGTATCAACCCCAAAACTTGTTTGTATTCAAAATTAATTATGACAATGCATATTTATATTGAAACAAACTATGATAAAGGGAATTACATTATATAACAAAGGGCAAGTCACCAGAGTTCAACTATGTTTTGGTCTGTAGCTATATTGGAGATTTGATATGGCTGGCCATGTACACATATTTAAGTTACAGCATAAAATAAGTATGACTTGAATTCTGTTAGCAGTGTCTGAATTTTGTGCACTTGTTTATACAGGGTGGACATCTGTTACACAGAATGGATAGCATCCCTACAAGGACTATAACATTCATGCAATACATGATATACCCGGTATATGTAGTTATTTTCCATTATAAATCAGTTTCAGTTCATTTATAAGCTGTAAATACCATATATGCTATGATTGTCGAACTGTCATTTTTGGCTTAATGCATCAGTGACCCTAGCAACAAAAAGGTAAATAGTATCCATGATTGTGAATATTATAAACTACTGTTACTGTTGCAGTGATGAAATACAAATAAATACACATGTAATTTTACTGTATTTTATTCCAGGTTAGAAATAAAAATAATTGAATTGTATAGAAATATAATTCATTAAATTATATTGCAATGGAACAGAATCATATTGACATATCTACACTTTATACAATGCAAATACTGCATAATAATTCCATATTTGCTATATTTAATTGCACAGCATTTAGATCACATGTATATTTTCATCTATGTCCAAGTCCATTTTTCTAACCCTACTAATGCGCAATTCTAATGACAAATTCACATATTATCAGCATTAGTTTTATTAACCTGTAAAAATTAGATTACAACATGGTATTTTATATATAATGTGCTTTTATGTATAATTTTACAGAAAATGTCATGAGAAGTTCTTATGCCTAAACATAGAGCATGCCATTTAAAAATATCTAAAAATTGCATTTGAGATGAAATGGTTGAGGAACAGGAGAGGAAGTCAACATTTCCCCCTGCAAGGAACGTGAAAAAAAGCACTGAATTTACTCAAAACTGGACCAGATCAAACTTTTTTTTCCAAATTGTGCTGTAAGTCAAGAGTTGTCTTTTACACCATTCTAAGTTTATATTTATCGTTCTGAGGATGACTAAAAATAGTTTGTGATGAAATTAATGAAAAATAGTTTGTAATGAAATTAGTGAAAAATAATTCTGATGGATTTTGATTTGATTAAACTGTAGTAGTGAAGCTATCTGATTCTTCAGAGTGATGACATGCATAACATATGTGCCTGAAAAACTAGTAAAATACTGAATATTGAAAGATAAAATATTCAAAAATCGATTGTCCATTATTTGATGCACATTACCCTATATTTAAAAATTTATATTTATAAAACGTTTATAACATCCTCAGCTTTATGCAGTAATTCTATTATGTTTTACATTTATTCTATAAAACAAGAATGTAAAGTTTCGGAAATTGTCTACAGATGAAGGTTATCAGTCTGAGTATGTATTAGTTTCAGTTTTGATTCTGGGAAGCACTCATAACCAACCATGAAAATATCCCAGATGTCAACACAGTTGACGGTAAAGGCAAAATTGTAAGCAAAAACTGTCATATAATAGTCATATAAGTAAGGAGTACAAGTCTAATCAAAACAAACCATGAGATTTTGATTTTGGAGTGCTTATTTTGGTATTTTTTCATGAATCAACAAAGTAGGGAAAGTCTGAGTATACTAAAATTTTCATAAATGAAAACATGTTTTCATCAGCCACTAAATGTGACGTATTATTTCTCTCACTGCCAAATGTCAGTTGATAAAAATATGAAATGCAGGTTAAACAATCAATTAGTACATTGTATCATTTATGTGAATGTCAGTAAATTTCTAATTTGCTACTAATTACTGATCAGCAAAAAAATGGCAAAATAATTACCCAAATTCGAAAATCTTGTGATATTGTTTTGTTTGGGTCTATTGATGAACTTCAATAATTTGGTAACAACCCTTAATACAACTGTAAACAAAATGTTTTTTCTTAATACATTTTGTATTGCAGCAGTTTTTCTGTATTCATAAACACTCAGCACTGCGTTTAGTGTCAACTGTGGTCAACAACTGCCATTGCAGCTAGTTGGACAGCAATACTGTTGTATTCAACATGCATGGAGTTTTTTAAAAATTTTCCCACGATGTTCTGGAGTAAGGCATGGACTTAAGGATAAATCAGTCTCTTCAATTCGTCTCTGAAAACGGCAGCGATCTCTGGCACATTCTTCCCAAGGACCTTTACGAGCTGCTTGATAAGCGTACCGCCAAGCCACAATATGATGCGTAACTGCCAGATGTTTCTCTTTGTCAGGGAAATGAACCTGAAAGACATCAGTTTTATACACTATGACCAACTAACACCGTATAAAGAATAAATACTTTCAAATGAGATCTTCACCAAAATGTTTAATAAGGAGATGCAGTAAATAAATAACAATTTTGTGGCTGTGAGAGGTGTGACATCAGGTTATTTTCCTCTCACATTACAGTATGATTAATTTTCATAATGATGTTCTGTATAATTTATTGTGCAATAAAAACCCATTATAGTGGTAAACCAAACATTGTAAAATAGCTAATAAATTTATCATCAGCATAAATCATGGCTAACAGCACACCGGTAAAAAGTGCCATCTTATGCTAAACATGTACGGAAATGACAGATAATGTAAATTACACAACATACCTTCTTTTTTGGCTTTGTGTTGATTGTGGACTGCTCAAGAGATGAAGAGTTTCCAAGTGACAGGTGGGGAGCAGATTTGGCATTACTAATACTTCTTTGAAATTTTGTATGACAGGGTTTGTTATCATATTCATGAATGTCAATACTGACTTCACTATTAGAATGTCCTGTGTTCTTCCATGATGCTGTCTCCCATTGAAGTCTTTGGTGTAGAGGTGTGCTTGAACAGAATGTAATTTCTGGAGGAGTTGCATTCTGGGGTTGTGTTATGATGAGGGATGGCACGTGGTGTGCTTGCACCACTTAGTAGGTTCGGTGAAGAAGTTGTTTTAGTAAGTTTCGTTGATTCAGTCATATTACATTGCCATCCATATATTGGATTGTAAGGGTCACCAGAGGTCATAAAAGAGTTCCATATGCTTTCTTGTAAATCTGCAGCATCATTGTCACATTCATCATAATCACTATCAGATGACCAATCAGAGTCAAAATCATCACCGCCAACAATGAAAGAAATACTTCTAGATGAGTTCTTACTAGCAAAGCCTGTATCAGCAACTACATCATCACTACTTCCATCCTTGTTACCATGGAGAAATGTGTCTCCCTGGAAGCACACATCACTTTCATTGCTTAGTAGGCTACAAGCAGAGAGCCTATGAGCAACTTCAAAGAGCATTGACTCGGTAGTGTCATTTCTTGAGCAGTTAAGACTACTTTGGAATGAAATGTCAGACTGTGATTCAAGCAGTGGATCTTTGCGACAAAACTCAAATGGCTGAAAATCATTAAAATTGTCGTCATTTGAAGTACAGCTTTGTAAGCATGTGGGTTTGGAATTTTCAACAGGCATTGTTGAATTCTGTTCAGAGGTATGTATCGATTGACTCTGCCCTGAAGTCACCAATTCATTTTGACTGGTCGATATATTCAAATCAGAGAAAGAAGAACATTTCAACTTTTTCCTACACTGAGATATTTCATCCAGGTGTTGGTCAGCCTGCAAGATGATGCAACCATTGTGTCCAGCTTGATCAGTCCGATATGAGTGTACTTTGCCACATTCAGTATCACAATAGTCCTGATAAGTACAGGTATCACCATGGTAACTATCAATCACACTGTTAGATAACACTGCACCACAAGAAGAGAGATGAGAGTTCACATCAGTCTGAATGTGACCTTTTTGGGTATTAGTCTCTGCCTGTAATTTTTCTGTTGTATCACAATTTATTGGATACGTTTGTGGTGTTATTTGTAAACTATTAGTCATAGGTTGAGTCATTTGTTCTGTGCACACTTGACCGGAGTTCAACATATCTGAAGTAACATTGTCTCTTATTGCACCAGCTGTAGTGTTATACATGTTGTTTATCAAATTTGACAACCTGCCAAACATAAATACGCGATTCTCTCTCGACGGGTGGAAATTATTGTTAACTCGACTGAAGTCGCAAATTTCATCAATGTATTGGCGACAGAAATTAGTCAAATTAAAATCAAATTCAGAACCACAAACGGGCCACGATTGCACTCCGTATCTCTGTGACTGATTCAGTACGGTACTAGAGTTAAATAACTGGTGAACTGCGTCAAGTACGCGGTCTGTCACACTCTGGTAGTGGTTCTTGGTTTTTGTCTGCATTAGATTACCCCCAGTCTGGAGATTATCAGAAAGCCCTCTGCAGGTACGATCACTGGCTTCACGGAAATCAAATCCGTTACTGTTTTCACCCGTACTGTCCAAACGTAGGAACCGTGGTCTGTAGGTTTCCTTTTGGACTTCAGAGTGGCACAATGCTTCTGTGTTGTTGCCGATACGTCCAAGTTGCAAAATGTTGTTGAACGGCCACATTGCTGGGCTTCCTTTCTTGTCAGAACTTGCGACAAACGACTTAGTAAATGCCATTTTATCACTTGTATCGCTGTGTTAATAGACCTTAAACTAACCCAATTGTCTTTCGTGTAACAACTGTAAGATAATCCATAAGTTCAGTTTCTTGGTACTGGTGATGCAGTCGATTGTGACAAGGTAAAAACAACTTAGAATTGCCGTGGAAATCAAAACAGTTCCAAATAGAGCTATTGTTGGAGGTCTTCTTGAAATCGTCAACGCCGGACTGATAGTAATACTGAATCATAAAGCTTGGTATCTCACTGTTATATCCTGAAATGTATATTGAAGCCATGTTGTGTGTCTTGAGGGTTGGTAAAACTCGTATATACTCGAATTCACGCGAGATATCTGCGACAGTACTTCTCAGAATTCATTTCGTTTCTGTTAGCGCCAAGTCAATCACCTAAAATAACCTTGTCTGATCGTCCCATGGCGTACTGTATGTCATATAAGTACACAAAAACGTAGTTCCGGAATTGTATTATTTTGCTTTTTCTTGGATACACATTTCAAGTACATTATATATACATCCTATTTAATTAAGTGAAATTTGTCATATGCAATGTCATATGTGCATGTTGGTTGAATAAAAACTTGTGTTTTCGATATATTTATCCGCTGCGGACAGGTGAAGAGGCCGGCGATTTCATCATGCATCCGGTGAACTATTTACACTCACTCTCCACATGCACACTGAGGGCGTTTATGGAGAGCATGTGACTCAGTGATCAACTCAGTGTCTCAGCGACAGTGAGACAGTGCAACAGTGGCGTAAAATGTGCGCCCTCAATGTAAATATAATATTTTACGTT